TGGAGCATGATGTATAACTGATGGGTTCCCTACGTTGTGGAACCACCACACCAGTTCCCGTTGTGCAGACATCGGGACAGGGTAACGGCGTAGGGGACTTTGATGTAGTAACGAGTGCACGTGGTTGAGACGTCCTCGTGGGACAGTAAAACTGGCAAAGTTCAGTGATCCTACTAATATTTGAACTTCTTTCAAATTTATGGTTTTGCGGGTAGTTATTTTCGCGATTTTGTTGCGTAAGTTTATTTGCTTTTTTGGCGGGAGAAATTTCTGATTTACGTGTGGGTACCACAGAATACCTAGAAACTCTATATACTTCTGCGGTATCAAAATCGATTTTCTTAGGTTTATTTGCCATCCAAGTTTTTGTAGGGTAACCATCACATCGTGGACTTGATTTTTCAGCATCTGTGGATCCTGGTTTGCCAATAAAAAATCGTCTAAATATACTACTATTCGCATTCCACGTTCTCTGAAGATTTGGGCGATCCAATTGGTTAGGGAAGCGAATATTTTTGGGGCACAAGCCAAACCGAAGGGTAGGCAAGTCATTTGGAATAAATGGCCTTTGAATATCAAACGAAGGAAGCACCTGTGAGCTTCTGCAATTGGCAGATGAAAATACGCGTTCGAGAGATCTATTTTCGCTAGCCAATCCCCTGCTTGTATGAAGTCTGGGATTCTGTGCATATTTATTAGGTGAAATTTGCTTATCTGAACGTAGAAGTTTAGGTTTTTTAAATTGAAAATTGGCCGGAGTGTGCCGTCGCTTTTGGGGGTCAGAAACATGGGCGAGATAAAACTGGGGCTTGGGGTTGCCGGCTCCAGAACGCCCGATTGTAATAGTTCGGTTATAACAGTCTCCATTTCTTTGGACTGTGGGGTTTGAAATTTCGTAACCTCTGGTCTGTGCAATGGGGGTTTGCAATAAAAGGGTATTCGAAACCCCTGAATTATTTTTAAAAGAAACGGAGGGGCATTTAATATTTTCCATTGGTCTATGTATTTGGCCAGCTGACCTGCTCGGAATGGGTTCGAGTCAGTATTTTCTTTTCTGTGGGTAGTCCTTGCGGGGGACATTAGGTTTATTTCTTGATTTACTACCGGTAGAGCAGTGAAAACCATTTGGGTTGATCGTTTGCTGCCGTGTGGGCTTATTGTTTTGTAGGTTATATCGTTTTTGTGATCGAATATTTCCTTGCGTAGGAAATGCAGGCAAGTAGGGACCTTGCATTGGAAATTTTGGAAATGGAAAAGGTTTGTTTCCGCAATTAAAGTCATACGAGCCTTGCGCAGGCATTTTCATATTTGTGTATGGTTGTATGGAGCCGCCTGCTTGCGCAGCAGACTTATTTACAGATGGCACACGGAGTGGCCACATTATTTTATATACACCGCCATTTTTTTCTATTGCAGCCGATAAAGAATCTTTATTGAATAAATTTTCAGCAGTTGGGGGTATACGCCTCAATGCCGCCCTAATGTACTTGTCTTTAACAGATCTTAAGATATAGTCACGTCTTTGTTGTATTAAATCAGCTCGATGGCCGCACGCTATTTGTAATGCATCATTAGAAATTTCTTGGAAACTGCCCTCAATAAAAATTTCATTAATTTTAGATTGAATAGACTGTGGTGAAAGCTCGGCAGTTTTCGACCATGAAATTAGCGCTTCAAAGCCGCTTTGTGCACTTTGCGACTGCTTTATTAATGCCTGGGATATTGCCGCGAAACCACGCTCACAAAGACTAAGATTATTATATTTATCGTAAGATTTGAACTCTTCATTAGTTTCGAGATCTGTATAGCCAGGATAAGAGCAATATTGCTTTTGAACATCTACATATCTAACATTAGTCCAATTATCTGAATCAAAATGCTGAACGGATTTAATTGTAGCAAGCAAACTATCTGATGTTTTAGGCATGGCAGGTTCTTTAAGTACAGTACGAATAGGGAGTTTAATAGCTTAGGGTTCTGGCGGAGCTCTCGGGCTTTGTGATGCATGAGAAGGTCCAGCCTGCGGTTCTGAATAAAGATCCCGGCTTACGTCAGCCTCCATCGAGACACTATTAGGACTAGACTGGTAAATAGGTTGAAAGCCCTGGTAGCCATTTGACAGAATATTCATGATAGCACTGACCTGTTCAGAGAGATTCTTTATCTCTTCACCGTATTTACGACGTTTAGGTGGTTGAACAGAATCCGTGGTCTCCGGCGCCTTCCTTTTTGAAGATTCGGCAGACGCTGGCTGTGCGGTAATTTCGTCCTCCGACGATGAAGTAGAGCTTGATTCGAAAACCATATTTCTATCTGAAAATCACCCGCATATTAGAAAATAATAATAAAAAATCCTTGAATTAATAACGAGTTCTCGTTATTAGTTCTGAAATAAAAGAAACCTTAAGTAGCCGTGACGTAATTTTGTAAAACGAACGGCAAACCGTTATTTTTATAAATATTATTTAGAGAATATTTTAAGTAAAAAGTACATACCAGTTGGTAATATCTTTTTGGCACGACCGAACGCTCTGGAAAATGAAACGCCAATGAGCTAGACCGCTGCCATGCTGGCCCGGCTGCCTGGTGCGAGTAAAAAAGTGGGGACGCCAGAGGCGGGGGCGGATGTGACGTAGTACGTGACGTAAGTATCATGACCGAATTGACACGCTAAGAGGAAACGGAAATGCTACTCTCGAATATGTAGGCTTCGAATAACGGTACATAAGCTTAATAAGCAATTAAATTTGTAATTTTTCAGCTAGGTTTTCGCTTACCTCATTTTGATTGAATTTCTGTGTAATAGAGTATAAATACAAAGTGTGATTGCGTTTTATATTACATCCATTAATAAAACTAGGTACTACTAATAATAATATTATTGGGGACATGGCCGGATTTAGAGGTGTAGAGGCTTGGGTCAACGTAGGTGTGGGGGCCTCTATTTTCAAATACTGGAACCCCGGACCACTTACACCAGGGGGGTTACTTCCCCCGCCCCTGATTGTTTACTTGAAGAAGTTTAGTTATTTTTTATCTCTGTTTTGGGGACCCCTGGGCCCCATCCCCCCACTTGCCCTGCCTTAAATGCGGCCCTGGTTGGGGGTGTTTCGTAAATCATAAAACTAAGGCTATAAATAAAGCAATAATTTAATATAATAAATATTTTACAAGTACAGCACGACATTAACAACAACAAACTGTATCTAGCAAACTATATAGAATGCTTAAGCAAGTAAAATCGAGCCAAGCAAGACCTCATTTTTGTTGCAAGCCCCTCAAAGAAGAGGCTAAGAATAGGCTTTTTTTTTAATTTTGTAAGAAGAAATACAAGTTCTCTATAATCACATAAATATTGTCGACTTGCGATGTGATTATCAATACATTTTGTTTTGATATTGTCGTAACAATTTGCGGAAACATAATCACCATAATAAACAACACACACATGCGCGCTCACACACACACACACACACACAGAGAGACACACACACACACACACACACACACACACACACACACACACACACACACACACACACTCACTCACTCACTCACTCACTCACTCACTCACTCACTCACTCACACTCACACGCTCGCTCGCTCGTTCGATCGTTCGCTTCACAGAACTTTCCAGCACCTTTGTGACGCGTCTAGGGCGTCACATTTTCGCCTTTGCAGTCTATGTATAATTTAGAACGAAATAAATCGATTAATTTCTTGTCAGTTCCTGTACGCCATATTTGGGGTTTTTACACTTGGCTTTTGACTGGGGGTAGGCCCAGCCTCTGATTGCCGTCGCGCGTCCTACCTGCGCCCATCTAGAAGATAAGTTCCCACTTAACTTTTGGGAACCACCGAGCGAAGTCCTACAAGAAGAAGCGAAGCACACCTTTAAGATTCTACTGTATATTCTAAATACATACATCTGCAAAACTGTATCCAACCATCTTCTTATTTAACTAACCTGGTAGAGAAACGGCTCTGTTGCATTCACACAACAGATATTCTAAAAATCAATACAGCTTTAGCCACTGCTTCGTGACGGGGAATGCCGTGTGGGATGCCAACGATAGCGTCTCAGGAACCACGCCTCGGGCTTTAAAAGCTTTTACATTTCTCTCAAAAATAATACTTTGTAATACCACTGCTCGGGAAGTATGCAAAAATATTCAATTTTTATTTTTAACGCTAATACTTAACGGTTCGATGAAGAGTGCGCCGCGGGCTGATCTAAGCCCGGATATTTACGCATGGACCGCTCCGAAACATGTTAAGGCTAAAAGATGGTGACGTGATCTCAACGAAACATGTTTATGTAATAGACCATTGTATTTGTACGTATAAAAATGCTAGTAATGACTTAATTTTTGAAGGAAACACCGTTATGTTTGTGTTAGTGACTTGACCTTGAACAATTTTTCACCCTATATTATTATTATTTTCGGGAAAACAAATATATTTTATTACGATACGTACTTACGGAGTCATGTCATGGCACGGTCAATGTCATCGAGCACTATACTTAAATGCCGGCATTGTAACCCCATTATATTTTAATAAATTATTTTAAGGTACACACTATAAGTACTTGATGTACAAAAGTATGTAAAAAACCTAACTTCTCAAAAATAAATCCATCTAAAATAATTAATTTCAAGTGCTTTAAAGTTAAACAGAAGTTACTGAAGATGTTTGTCGTAATCAAATTAAATAAATATGCAATAAAAAACAAAACATAAACTCAAAAACACGTCCAAAATATAAATAGGAACTTTAAGTAGATCGACCTCTTAGATTTAAAATGACTTATGCCACAAAATATACCGCCCATAACTTTCGCCTTCCCTAAATTCTCGTACCAATTGTGTTTATGTAAAAACAAGCAATTGTTTAGGCTGACACTGATGACTTCAATAATGATTGAACTAGTTCATTCAATAATCATTAAACTAGTTCATTCAATAATGATTAAACTAGTTTATTTTCGTTGTCTGCAGGAGTAGGTGGCGTGGGTTGCACCCCCGCAGGCGCGTACGCCGGCATTTACGGCGGATACGCGGCGGCCGCCCTCGCCGGACTGTCCGGTCCGCCGCCCAAGCGCAAACGGAGGCATCGCACCATCTTCACTGAAGAACAACTAGAACAATTAGAAAGCACCTTCGATAAAACACATTATCCTGACGTTGTTCTAAGAGAACAGCTCGCATTACGCGTCGACTTAAAAGAAGAGAGAGTTGAGGTAAGTTACAAAATAAAACATACACGCTTTATTAAACATACAATGGGGTTAAAATGATTCATTAAGTTAGTACGTAGTTTCATTTGAATGAAACTTCGTTATTTTCGAAGATTTAATGTGTAGTAGAAAATAAGCATGTTTCTTACAGTGTTTATTTTTTTGTTCTAGTTTTTGCCAATTTTTGTTCTAAAGGGTTTTAAAACATAGGATGGATGTTTGTATGAAAATTTATTATATCTTGTATAGAGAAAAAAATGGCCAAGTGCGTGTTAGGCTTAGGCCACGTGCAATGTAGTGTTTCGTAATTGCTTATCACAAAGCGCTCATAGAAAACTTATAGGTAGGCATTTTATTTGAATACCATCTGGATGCTCGGACTTATGATTGCGGGCCCCTTAACATAGGGGAAAACCGGGAGACCTACCCAGGTGGGAAAGTTGAACCATTTTTCTAATTTGTATTTAAATTTAGTGCAAACAAAACACAAATTCGTCCATTGGTCACATGCGAAACGCCAATCACAACAAAACAGTCTCGCATTTCTCGCACCAATAAACGAATTGCAGTTTTTGACGACTCTTGCAGTTGCACCCCAGACCAGACATCTGTACCCCTAGTACGAGTTTTACAATTACGAAAACTATGATAGTTTTCGTGAGCTCGCACTCGTACTAAGGGTACTGATTTTATTGTTTTCGTTTCAATACAAATAAACAGTGTTTAAATACTATCATTAAATCATTTGCATCTTTTAAGTATATTTGGTTACTTTTCACCAAAATAGACATAGAAACATAATTTGCAATTACGAAAACTATGATAGTTTTCATGAGCTCGAACTCGTACTAAGGGTACTGACCCAGTGTGCGCCCGACACTATTACGTTAAGATTATTCAATTAGAAGTTATTATTATTGTGTTTAATTTTGTTTATTTTTTGCATTAAGTTTTTATATTTTGTCCCCTGTTTATTATGTATTAGTCGATGTATATATTAGTTTTATAGCGCCATGTTAAACACTGAAAAGAGTGGCTAAAACTGTGTGATATAATTTAAAATTTAAGTGAAACCCCTAGTTCTTGAACCATGACTCGGGTAAGCTTAGTCATTCTTATGAAATGGGAAAGTTCAATTTTCACAAAGAATTTCATATAAGTACCAGACCTACAATACTGCATACTTAGGTGGAATCATAGTACCTACATCCGAGGATGATTTACCTAACACTATAATAGTACCCATTAAAATAATTTGTTTTATGAAAACTAAAAAAAACTTTCTTAGAAAGCTTTAACATTACAACTTTGCTTGGCAACTAGTACTCGGTTCAAATTACGTGAACACTTGCAATATTTTTATGTCATTTTTATCCTAAAAAAGAACAACGTAAAAAAAGTATAAAGTACACGAGAATTCAGTTGGTTCCGCCTCTTTGTGTTTCAGTAATAATCTAAATCCACTTAATACATAATCACAGTACAATAACGCAATAAAAATCCCATTGCTTTGTTGTGCAGGTTTCACAACCTCGATAAAAGATACAAATACATTACACTCTATATCAAAAAATGTTAAGGTACCTCTAAGTCTTCTCATTATTTTCACACGAAATACAAAATGGATTTTGATTAATAATCTTTCTTTTTCATTGTTTTCCAAATCTTTTAGTACATGTTTATTTATTAAATACCTCAGCTTACGTCTCTTTTCTCATACCACAAATCGTCTGTGTCGTGGTGACACGATGACAATCCGACGTTTAAGAAGGAGGAAAGCCTCTCTTATTTAAACTGTATATTATTTTTTTTATTATTACTATTTGCGCAAAACTTCTATATAACTTCAATCATCTGGAGTAATTAATCTCTCCCCCCCCTGCTAGAGAAGTGGTTGTTTCTAGGTTAATAAAAAAATCACGTAAGTACTATCCAAAGAAAACGCTTAATATAGCTTTAAACGTATAATTAGATTAATATACCTTTTATAGTTGTATAGGTCTATTAGAGCGATTTGAAAGCGCTTTATGAAAAAGCTTATTTTAGTGACTTAGTAAGTAAACCTCTATTAAAACATAATATATTTATCTGAAGTTATAGATATAGTTAATTTGATGTATTATTTTTCACTGTGTAATTAGTTAAACATGGCGTTTTGAAGTAGGAGTTGCCTGCGTAAAGTCAATAGTGACGTGACATTTTTATAAGACCCGCCGTGGGTGGCCCAGCCATGATGTGAAGCGGCAACAGATAAATAAATTGTACTTATGAACTCGTATGTTACTTACCTACTATCGTGAAGTTGCGCTGCAAATTTATACTTTTAAAAATTATTTCATTCATTTACTATTTCCAATGATACCGCACTGATATTTTCCATATTATGAAAGAAAGAACCTCCCTAAGAAGATACCTATCTACGTTTTGTGATTTGACCTTCTCGAAGGAAAAAGTTTCCTGTGTAAGGAAAGTCATGTAGGTGTATAGTAAAGAAAGGTGCTATAGGTAATTTAAGAGCCATTTCCCCGAAATGTCGTGTGAACACTCTCATTACATTTAAAGTCGAAATCTCCAGATAAATAAATACAAAATTTCTGATTTGTTAAACTATTGCATAAACATGATGTTGGTTTTCATCCACATACTCTTTTTTATATATAAATACCAAACATAATCATTCATGAAAATATTGAACAAAAGGTGTAAGTAACATTCTAAATTTGCCATTATAAACTTACTGTACTTACATTTTAGATTATTATGATTGCTTACCATCAAGAGATCGTCGTCTATATTAAACTACTAAATGCGTAATTAAACAAACAGTTTACGAAACATAAACATAATCTGTGGCAAAAACTACACCGGATTACCATATTCAAGTGACAGTAAGTAGTGGCTGGGTGCCCAGCGGGCGGAGAGTGCTCGAGATGGAATTTGTTTTGGACGCTGGATATATTTGGGCTACCGGTATTGGTGGAGTGTGTGCGTACCACTTGACGCTCGCCACCCAGAACTGTCCGCTCTTGTTTACCTTTACCGTTTCACGTGACCACATTTTTCTGCAAATTACAACTGCCTAAACTCAGGCGATCGGTAATTGGTTCAATACTTGTAACAGTCTCAGTCTTTTGAAGGTGTGTAATCAGAGTTTAACGCTTAGCTGCTTACCAAAATACATGAGTAACATTATAAATTAACACACAATTTAAAATAATATTACACTTAACTAGAGTCATGACATATCTGTTACAGAGCATTTATGATGAAATAAAACTTTAAAAAATAGAAAAGCTGAGTACACAAACTGTTTATACTTGTACTTCCCTCAGATATTTACTGTGTGGTAAAGACATTATAATATTATTACTGTTAATTTATAATAACAGCTTCTACTAAATAAAAAACTGAGTGTGTTACCTGTGGATCAACGATTCCATTGATAGCGAACTATCAATGGAATGGGTTTGCTGAGTAGCCCTCTAAACTGGTAACGGATTTATTTGCAACATTATATGCAATGCAATATGAACAACGATATTAAATACCCTAATATTAAAAAGAGTTTTTAATATCGTTGAATATGAACATAAAGCACACTCTACGCGCACTATCTGCGTACTTTCGTTCTTGGCAGTCTCTAGCACGCACACCGCACGTAGCCCGTAGGTCCATTACGAATAGCCATCCAAATCACATTTTCCGATAAATCAAAAAAATATGGCAACAACAAACAAGCGCGTAGAGTTATGTTTGACCGTAGCAGGCGCATACGAATGTTCGATAGCGAGAGAAAAAATATATGGAAAATATTAAATTGCATGTTGCATTACACAACGTGACAATTAATCTTAGAACTTGTAAGTGACAGGGCACGCGCAATGTAGTATTCTATAGTTACCCATTGCATATATAATATGCTTGTATAAGGACAGTCCTGACAGTACCTACATCAGAAAGTAGTCTCCACATCAATCATCAGGAGGTCATCATAAGCTAATGAATTAAGTTTATTAAATAACAGCGAGATAAAAGGTTCCCATTGTAATTTTGAGTCTATTTATTAAGAACGGACGCGAGATGAGAGACATTTAAAAAAAGGTATTTGAAACTATTGCTGTCACGCATTGGCGCTCGCATAATATTATTCTGTGCGATATCCCTAACTTACAAGGACAGGAATATTACAAATAAAAATAATAAGTTTCAGCCTCGACGATTTCCTTCTTGAAAATTGTAAAAGAAATAAGTAAGTACTTTTACTAGACTCTACGTTATTTTTTTGGATCTCCACTATTAAGGGGCGGTAAAAAACTAAATGGGATTAATGGAAAGAAACGACACGTAGCAGTAAAAAAGATAAATAATCCGTGTTCACGATATATACGTTCGTGGAATGTGACATGACAAAGTCTATCAAACAATAATAACAGTATCGGTGACATAGAAAAGTAAAACAAGTACAAAATATAAAAGGAGGTTTGTAGCCATAGCCAGTCGCGAACATACCGGACCCCCAGTGCAACGATAGCAGCTGGTGGTGACTGTCTGTGGCTCGAGTCCCAATAGGGCCAGTAAAATTAGAAACGCCATTTCATTCTCACAGTACAAAAGGTTGCGAAAAGGTCCTCTGTCACGAAGCGTTGTCGGGAGTGTTCTCGATTCGATGCTGGCGTGCACTCTCACAGCATTATTTACTAAGACGCTCTCACAGCCATCGTGTCCCAAACTTAGCACATCGTCAAGATCTTTCGGCAGTCGCTTTCGGTAAGGTTGGTGGAGGTGATGATGTGTGTCAAATTTGCAGATGCTAAGGATTCTATGGTAATGGAGTAGTAGCAAAGTGCTAAGTTCGTCCAACTTCTTACAAAAGGCATACATTGGGTACTGTGGTGATCTATCCTGAAGGGTTAGACATGGGAGCGTAGCTCTGCTACGACTGCGAAATAATAATCACCAAATAATTTGTTATGTTATATTCTTGAATTGTTAGCGAATTACGT